ACCGAGTCACCTGGTCAGGGTTTCCATACCCTCATCTCAAGTCTTTGTTTGACCACCTTTGGCTTTCTTCATCCATTACCTGCCTCGGAAAACATCACACGCAGTAGCAATCTATTTGATGACGTGTGTAACACATACCCCAGCTAACGTTATCTAACGAGGTCGACCACTTGCCGCATTGGCCGACTGAGGTTAATTAAAACTCTTAACCTAACCTCATCATTGCTGTTCGGCTACCCCAGCAGACTGGTGCAATGCGGCGTAGACAGCGGTGTTCGAACACCGACAGTTTTTCTTTATCTTTCTCTCTTAGCGGTCAAGTCTCTGCACCAAACTGCTGCAACATACACTTGACCCTTGGAGGGTGGTGGTGGCGCGAAGATTTAGTCGCTGTCACCGGCGTGCCTTGGACCCTAATGGTCTGAGGTNCCACCCGACTTTGTTGGTAGGCAGCTTTGCTGTCGTCCGGTTCAATACCACACCTAACCTGAGGGGCCTTATGTGGTTCGCCACTCCAAGTCCCGGGGTTTAAGTTACCGGTTTTCATCAACAACAGGTCACAGTCACTATGAGGCTTTCACCGCCTGTTGATCATTAGGCTTAGGTGTGTAATGGAAAAAAACGATCGGATTTCGCGACGGCGTCACAGATGTTTCAAGTTGGCAAATGTCAATTGAGGCTGTATGCATGCCGATACGTCATTGATTAGTCCGCCTTAAATTTTACCACTAATCTTGTATGCGTTGCGAGTTTGGCAGCGATCAGTGAAGTTCGCTTCACTGTATTACGCTGTACGATGATGATGGTGACTAATAGAATACCCATATTAAACGCAGCTTGTCACAAAAACCTATGTAGTCCTATACCGCAGTACTCGCGAAGACAGCAGTGGTTATCGATGAGAACAGTGTAATTCCTGTCAGCTCGATCGACAATGAAACAAACTGGGCACTGTATATGCGCCCAAATGGTGATTTGTATTGGATAACCGAATTTTGGACGATGAGTTCCGCTTTATTCAAATATTTATTCTACTTTAATCTCCAAAAGTGAGTTGCTCGAGCGCACTTTTATCAGCAGATTGAAATTACGGAGTCATTTGATGATTGGCTATTATTATTATTGTTCGTTTACGTTGGGTTTTTATGCTTCAAAATTGTTTTGATTGCTGCTGTTACAAGAATTACAAGCTGCAAAGATTAACAAGAACTCCGTTGCCAGAAATATATATATGTATATATATACATATATATATATATATATGCGCGCGACCCCCAAAGGATTGCGATTTCTACACGCCGCCCAGCTGCCTTGCGGATCACGCTTTGGTTAGCCGAAGGCCGCTGCCTAAGGGACGTAGTATGTAATCCCCCGCCCCATAGGCCTTATGATGCATTAAAAGATTCGGCCATTAGCCGCTTGAGTATGACGGAAGAGAACCGTTTGAAACAGCTCCATGAAATCCGCCTAGGGGATAACGGGCTACATAATCCAACTAAGCTACTCAGCTACATGAGTTGTCAGGTTTCTAGCCTTCATGTAAGCGAAAATGTGCTACGTATTTCTAGGATGTAAGCACTTCCAGACTGTCGCGACTTTCCTTAGGTTTCCCGCATATGCACATCTACCATATACGGACCAGATCAAGACCACCCAGAAGGTCATGGCACGTTGGCTTTTACTTCCCACACGATAATAAACCTGTACACCTCTCTCTCTCTACAAATCATACCAATATAACCGTCGTTAAGGTGCCATGATATTAATTGTTCTCTCTTTGATTCGTTCCTTCGTCCGTTGCTCGATTTACGTACTCGCAGACATTATTAGTCAAGACACTAAAATGGGACTACAATATTGTAGTGCTGAATACGACTCACTTGGGTCGTTTGTGCTACATGAGAGATCGGATACAGTACATAATGTAACGATCACTTGCCCTCGTCGGATACATTCAAATCCACAGTTTTCGCACTATTCACTATGTGAATGTCTACATTCCTCAAAAGTATGACATGACTAAAAGTACGTTAGTCAGGCTCGTTACAGCATAAAATAAGCATAGAAATCACGTACAATATATTAGATATTAAAAGAAACAAATTTACAGCATGTGAACCTTCACTTTCTTGGGAGCACAGTGCCACTAAACTCTATGCGGCTGATTGCTGATAGTTAGTTGTATTGACCAATCGCACTCCGCACATTGCACAAATGCCCTTTTTAAAGGCGCACGAGTGACAGTAGTGCGATCCCGGTTGGTGGACGCTTTGAGCACAGATACGGCATTTACGGAAGCTCTTCGTGTACGGGCTGAATCTGTTTTTTGACGCAGTCAAGAGCTTATTTTCATTCAATTTTCTTCCGCCGCTGCTCACGGTGTTCCTTGCGCCAGCCTTCCATGGATCTGGGGTTATAACCTTCCCCAGTTTCTTCTCACACTTTTCACAGACCATATATGAGCCTCCGAACGAGTTTAGGAATTATCCGAACGGCGCAGAGAACCAAGTGAAAATGGGCCAACTCACGAAAACTATACGCCTTACTTACACCACAAACGCTACTTGACCTTGACGATCAGTTCAGGTCAGTTCAGTTCTCCCAGAACGAATTGTGGCTCTTGCCAATCGCGCGTCCAGTTCTTTGT